TGTTGCAATGAGGAAAACCCGTCATGTCCTGTTTGTAGTATCTTGTGTCATTATAGTCTTATACAGAAATACATTTGCAATTCACTCAATTGTAAAAAAAAAATTACATGTATTCACTAGTGTGTTAGAAAAGCATTTACAAGATAGAATGTGGTTAAACTAAAGAGCAAATTAGGGTTAGTAGGACAATAGTGGTCTTGGGGGTGCAACCTGTCGACTGCCAGGCACATGGCACGTTGGACCGCTTCCGCCTCTGCCTCCGCCTCGTTCCTAACTCTGTCACTTCCACGCCAAATTCTCATTGAACCTCACTTTATTACTTTTATATGATGAATTATATTTACCGGATAAGAAGTGAGGGTCAAGGTAAAATTGTCTACACAGCTAGGAGACTAGGTATGCACAGTGAATGCTGGGGACACACTAAAGAGACCACCGCCGACACAGGGACAGATTACAATGTTTGTCAGATGCTTACTACAATTTGAACTAAACACTTGTAATCTATTCAATTTACTTACATATGAAGCAATTGTTATTTACAGTTCCACTTTAACTAGAACAAGTGAAAATATTTAAGAAGGTCAATTTTAATTCTATCTTTTATTTTATAAGTACAAGAATTGAGAACACGGTTTCATTTATCATAACAAAGAACCAGCTTGTAGTCTCAATGTCACTGTGTGTGTGTGTGTGTACATATGTGTGCATGTCATGGTACCCACAACTCATTACTAGCACAATGCTTTATTTATTTTCTTTCAAAGCAGTATATATTAAGGTTAATAAACATGAACATTAACATTTACACTACAAGTGTGCATACTAGAGGGAAATTGAAATATTATATGATATTATATTAGAGGAAGTTTGAAAGTAGCGCCAGCGGTGGAGAAATTGAGAAGCAAAAGGTTAGCGTGGTATGGGCATGTTATGCGACGAGACAATGGGGACATAAACCAGAAAGTGTTAAGAATGAATGTGGATGTCTACAAAGGAAGAGGAAGATTGAAGAAAGTATGGATGGATAGTGTGAAAGAGGATATGCTTAAGAAAGGAGTGGATTCAGATATGATGGCTGATAGAGATGTACGGAAGAGCAGCATATACTGTGCCGACCCTCCGTAAGGTATAAGGACAAGTTGATGATGACTGCAAGTGTGCAAACGTATATACACAAAAAAAGATTTGCTAAAATCTGCTTCAGTGTTTGAAACATGACTGTTGGTGAAAACTGAGATGAAACATTTGCATGTTCTGATTACTATACATCTGTTTGATGCCGCTAAACTATATTTATATATTTGTCCCTGTATTTACCAATAGTATTCATTCCTGAACAGATTGTGATGAAAATAGCAATTTATGTCAAAATCTGTTTTAAGTTTATATGAAATGATCTCACAAAGTAATCTGACCAATGACAGACACATTCACAGTCATTTCTTACACAGGTGTATGTAAGCATAGAAAATAAATGATGGAATAAGACATAACATAAATTTAAGTTAAGACTACAACAAGTCTGTTGCACTATAAATGTACTTAAAGATGTGTTATTGAGGAAAAAGTTGATTCACACATCCTAGGATTAAAACAACAATATTGACCATTCTATATATTTTTCACCAAGAAAAATCAAAATTATGTCAATATGAATAAAAAATGTTAGTAAATTAGTAGCAAAGTTTCAAACAAATAGCTACCTAGCAGTATTTGGTGCATAGACTCCACAAAAACTGGCAGTCAATTGGGTGAGAGATATCTGAAAAAATTTGAACATTATGTATACCCCAAAGTGCAATGGCAAATATCTACATTTTTAAATGAACATGTAAACTATAACATAACATATTGCACCATTATATAAGTTAGAATTCTGAAAGTGCATCCCACAAAGTACCATGATACATAAATAAAGGGAAACATCTACGAGAGGATCAAAAAGCAACCAATGCCCCAGTGAGATAGGGGAAGGAGTGCATGCCTGAGATATGGATTTGGTGCAACATTGAAATAAAAAAAAACACAAGTAAATACTGGCGTAGCGAAAGTTTAACATTGCATTCGATACAAGGAAAATATAACTGACCTTGCAATTTCAACCATATCGGGAACTGGAAAAAGAAAACTAGATGACGAAATAAATTAAAAATTTGCGCATCGCTTATAAACTACTTATTAAAATATTGGCAATATTTCGTGACGACAACATTGAATGTTAATAACCTTTACACCTGATTTAAAACTGTATACGAATTAATTTGAAAACTCAAGTATGGAATGAACTTTGTTCACTTTACTAAGAACAAGTCGATAAAGTACATTACATTATGTATTAAAAATCTAAAGAAGATTAAAACTTCATTTTGTAAAATGTATGGTTAACAAACTAATTATTGTTTATAATTAAATTACATAATTAAACAGTCGTCCAACACGTAAGATAATTAACTAAATTCCCTATCTATCACATGTCTGGCCAATTGGCCAATGACAATGGCTGTCAGACAGAACAGATGTCAGTATGATGTGACGTAACACGATAAATGTCATATAATGAATATGTCATTCTGACACTATAGACTCACAAGGATCATATGGCAGTTGGCAATTTTGTAAATTAATAATGTTGAAAATGTTCAATGGAAAAGCGTTCAACCTTCTAGTTCTGGAACAATTGAGCTCTTGTCATCATGAGACAATTGACGTCAATCGTCGTCATATTCATTTTTATTATGCCTGGTACAAATAAGTGGTAATTAATAATTGTATTCATTATTTTTTTTATTTTACAGTTGGTTTTGATATCGTGTTTACAGTAAAATACTTCAAGAGTGTATTTCTATATAAATTAACGTAAATGAACTGTGTATTGACATCACAGCGACGCCATATTAGATAAGCCACTTGCTTCGACCAATAGTGTGCGTTTTAGAACTTAGCGAGGGAATTTGAAAAAAAGACACCTTTTACTTTTGCCACTAAATCACATGATATTTAAAAAAATCTTTGCAGGAATGTTTTTATAGTAATAAAGTATACTTAAAAAAAGTTTGGTACAATTTGGCATCATAAGCATATTGCCTATTTTATGAAATAAAAAAAAGACATTTAATGTCAGAGTAATAGTGACATAGCTTGTCAGTTAACTTTGCGTCTTTACTTTATGTATTTTTCGTGGTTTCATAATGTTTATAAGTAGTGTAAGAGAGGTTTTTTTTTGAAAGCAGGAGTTATTTTAATTGCTGAGAAGTAGGGGGGTCCAGTATTAAATTTGAAAATACAAATCATCTTGTGTCTGTTGTTACGAAAATGTGTTACCATTTGTTATTTCAAGAAATTCCCTAACTCCCAAGAGGAAGCATGTCATTCGTAATTTATAATTTCATAAACATTTTTATAGTAATTCACTTACAAATATTTTTCTGATAGTTATTTTATTACCTATTTCAAAGTGCAGTGACCGAACCCTTAATTGTAACGTGTTTTGGGCCATTGGAAGTATTGCCTTAGTGACATACAATGACATACAATCAACAAGGATTTTGGTTTTTATTGTACATATTTACTTACGTAATAAGAAAATTACTATATGTACTCAGAAATATAACAAGAAACTGTCTGTCTGATGATTTTATAACGCACCGTACAAAACAACTGGGCATACCACGCAGTTTGTACTGTGCAGATTTTTTATTATTCTCTATGTAAGCACTAAGTAAGACAGTTTCAATTACGTAAAGGCTATTCCTTCCCCTTTACTATCTTAAGAGAGTGCTTTGCTAAAAGTTTGCTACAAAAGTTCTTTAACTATAGAATCTTCCCGACAAACGAAGTCAACATCATTTCTTAGTTATTATTGTACAAGTACTTCCTATACAATTTTCGTTTTTTCTTAAAAAAGGATAAAACTCCCTTAAATGAGAAAATATTACCTCGCGGGTTACCCTAAATGCTCAGAGGCGCCATCCTGTCAATGTCAAAAATGTGCCACAATATCCTTGCGGCACTATTAATATTCTATCAAAACACGTTTTTTTTTTCTGGAATCCCTAAATTATAAAAAAAGTCGATCTCACAATGAAGGAGCGGAAGCTGCAACAGTAAAGGTCGCGATTTTAACATTCTTTAAATTCCAGAAAATTAACATGTGTGATGATAAAACATGGTCTTATTTGTTAATATTAGGACCGAGGACGCAAACTTGCGACATAATTCAAGTTTATTATTATTATTTATTTATTTCTGTGGATGTTCGGATCGCTTGTTACAGCGTCAAACGCTCACTTATTAGTGGTGTGCCATCGATCCCCTGTTTCAAATGAATCATATACGAAATGTTTCATGCATATAATTGTAGGAAACAAATAAAACACCAGTTATCGGTTCGATAGTCATTTTAATTTAAAATTTCAAAAAGCAAATACAATAATCTCCGCATGACTCATCTCATAAAGCTTTACACGTAAGGTATCTTTAATAG